TGTGTGTGTGTGTGTGTGTGTGTGTGTGTGTGTGTGTGTGTGTGTTTACACACTGAGAACTCCCACTCCTCTGGAAGTTTGAATTTCTAAACATTAGAAAACAGCTGGACAACACTTAGCGTTTTGACTTCTGACTTAAAAAGTTAATTTTTTCCATCTAACATTTCTTCAGTGTTTCAGATTCAGAGCTCTACAGCAGATGTTAGAGACAGTGTTYGAATCAGTGGCTAGCCTTGTCACTAAGAACACTAATTATKAAATCTTGGTGATTTTTCTAATTGYATCTGGAMCAGTGGTTTTAGGCTTTATGTCGTTCCATCATCTGATTCTGACTTCAGCCTTAAAGAAGTTCAGTATTAGCTGGCAGTGGTCAATCCACACATCATAATATTACACCCTCTATGCCATGCAGTAGGAATGGGACTTTGTGTTTGGTTTAATAATTCAGTTTTTTGTCTGAATGAAATGTTCCTCTTTAAGTTCAAATGATCTCCTGCTTGACTAGGTCCAGTTTGCTTCACATGTAGTCTGAGTTAGTCTCTAGCTGTAAACCTTGTCCCGATGTGTTCTTGTTGTGACCGGCTAAAGGTAACAAGTATCGTTATGTTCCTGTTTCAAACTGGTCTGAGTCACGTCATTTGTTTATCACTGACTATAGGAGCCTGTTTATGTCTTAAATATTCATAATTCAAAGTTGAATGAATCTTCTAAAAACGATGAACATTATTTGAAACTAGGTGAAACGGGTCTGGGTCATGGAGCTGACAGGTTCTGTGTGAAACGGGTCTGGGTCATGATTTGTTTACTAGCTGTAGTCGGATTACACAACTCTGCCCGTCAATGTAATTTCAGCTGATCAAAGGCAGGTCAGCTGATTTGAACTTTAGCTTCATAAGCAAAACGTTCTGTTGGGTTCTGAAGCAGCTATTCAGTGAGGTTCTGTTGGGTTCTGAAGCAGAAAGTGTGTCAGTCATAATTAAAGTCCTGCTTCCATTTCTCTCAGCATGGGTGGTTCTGTAGAGGATGATGTTTCTGCAAACAAATGATCAATAGTTCCTCCAAGATAAGATCAATTAACAGATCGGCCATAACATTATGAGCCCAGTTGTGATGTTCTGGTCAGTGTTCTGTTGGGTCTCACATGTAAACGTGTTCAGACTGATCACAGCTGCAGCTCACATTCAGCAGGACAGAACGGGGACACAGTCTGACGTGTTCTTGCAGGTTTTACTCTGCTGACCTGACTGGAACCAACAGCAGCCCAGTCAGCAGGGGCTGGACACCAGATGTTCTTCTTCACACTCTTCATGCTCAGAACAGTAGTTCAGTATCAGGCAGGCAGGCACAAACCTGAGTAAGGTTTTTTTCTTGTTGATAAGATCAGGCAGACAGAGCTGGACCCTGAACAGACGTTAGTGTAGAACAGTGACGCTCATCAAACCAGGTCAAAGTACAAACATCTGAACTCTGCTGTGACCCCAGAATGACTCCGTCCATCCAGCCTGGTCTGGAATGAGCTGGTTCCTGTGTGTGTGTGTGTGTGTGTGTGTGTGTGTGTGTGTGTGTGTGTGCGTGCGTGCGTGCGTGCGTGCGTGCGTGTGTGATGCATTTTAATGAAACTTCCAGGTAGTAATTATTAGCTGTACATCTTCAAATGGTGAACTTTAGGAGTCGGTCCAGTTCAGGATGGATCCGTCCATCATCTTCCTCCAGAATCAGGTCTCGGGTGGTCCACACCTCTCATTCCACAGCCACCTCTTCTAGCTCTTCTGGAGGTGCGATGATTTTGCCACATTGTTTGTGAGTGTGCTCTCAGGCCTCCTAAATGCTGCACGTGTGTCCCCAATCTTTGTCCAAAACATGAAAAGCAGTAGATGATACGCATTCCTTTAAAAGGTCGCACTGCAAACAGCTACATTTGATACAAAGACAGCTCAGAGGATCTTATCAGTGTATCTTATTTTTTTCTACAGCAACCAGTCACAAAAACAGTTTTATAACCTTGGTCCAGATTAAATATTAAATTATTTGTTGCAGTGTCCTGAGCACATAACATAGGATGTTTTGGGTAATAAATAAACTCTGTGGGTTTATGTTAACGGCATTGTTAAACTAACTCTCTTGGATTTACCTTTTTCTTTACACTGTATAACAAGCCTTACAAAAGCCCCTTCATGTGCCTGGCCTGTTGCCATGGGGACAGGTTGGCAGTTCTAACGCTGCTCTGACTGTGGAATAGTAATGACTCGGAGGAAACGGATGTGTCTCTGCAGGACACAGGACACCATCATTTAGACTCATTAAAAAGCATGTAGGTCCATAAAACCCTAAAAACAAGCAGCTTATGAAGGAATGAATGCCTGTCAGCCCAGAGTTAAACACTGCCTTCTGATGAGGACATGTTCTGGTCACAATTCCTAGGTGTTGTGTAAAGCATAAATAAAAACAGAATATGATGATTTGCAAACACTTTTAAACCTATGTTTAACTAAACACACTACAAAACAAGATATTTAATGTTCAAACAGATAAACTTTATTGTTTTTTTTCTTTGTAAATCTCTAATTTTGAATTTGATGTTTGCAACACGTTCTGAAAACACTGGGACAGGCATGTTTACCACTGTGTTACAT